TACATCAGGGAGTTTTTTCTATCTTCTCTTGCCTCCTCTTTCTATTTTTTGGTTGAATGATCTCTACTTTGTAACAGTATGCAGCATATTTCTACACTAGTTCTCTATCATCTTCCCCACCTTTGTTTTGATCTTATACATATACATACGTATTAATACATATTTTATATATTTTAAGAGCTTAACATTAAGTCTTTTTCTGGAGTTTTACCAGTCATTATTGGGTTGAATGACATTCATGCTCTAATAGAAGAATGTCAGAACATCAGAAGAAGTCTCTAAGTTCTTGCATATTAAAAATGGCTTTTCTATATAGCTTTAACATACTATATATAACATATATAGCCATAACATACATGAAGACATGGCTGGATATTAAATCCTGGTTCTTACTTCTTAATGTGAATTTTAAAAAAATGCTATCCCATAGTTACCTTGCTTTGTATGTTGGTTTCAAAAAGTATGGTGCTAGCTTAATACTTTTGCTATTGTAAATTATTTGATCTTTTCTTGCCTGGAAGCCTGGAGGACTTTATCTATTTCTTTGAAACTTGGCCCACTGCATTGGGTGGGTGGAGTCCTAGCCACTGAACCACCAGGAAAGTCCCTGCTTCTCTTTTGTTTTGCAGGTCTTTACATTTTATCTCTTTTTCATGGGCTCCCTTCACTATGCATGTGTTCACCATCTCCCTACAAAACGATGCTTTTCTTTCTTTGTGCCCCCCACCTCTTTTCTTCTCTGCAAGGTTTGTGTTTCAGATGGCTCCTTTAAAATGTGCCTATGCCTTTAAATGGTCCTTACCCCTTGAAATCACACTGACTTTGAACCTCTGTAATCCCTGCTAAAGGATCTGTCACAGTCCTTTCCAGGACTTTCAGACTGAGAGTAGATTCAATCTTTCTGGTGACTGCTCCAAATCACTCCCAGATCCTTTCGCTAGCCTCTGTCTTCCATCTGTTCCACAGTTTTTCTCAGCTTGCCTTTGCAGGAGATACTGTGTGCTGGGATTGGTGGTTTTTCTTTCTGTCACAGTTATCTGCAGCTTCAACATTTTCTGTCTTCAAATTATCCAGGAGGCACAGTTTTGTGTAGAATATACTTTTCCCTTCCTGTTTTATCTTGCTGGCAGAAAAAAACTGGGATAAAAAGAAGCTATACAGTTGTCACTGTCCTCAGATACTCTTACTTCCTCTAATTTTTAAAAGACTTTGTGTAAGACTGATAAGACCCATCTAGTCAAAGCTATAGTTTTTCTAGTAGTCATGTATGGATGTGAGAGTTGAACCATGAAGAAAGCTGAGCACTGAAGAACTGATGCTTTTGAACTGTGGTACTTGAGAAGACTATTGAGAGTCCCTTGGACCGCAAGATCAAACCAGTCAATTCTAAAGGAAATCAACCCTGAATATTCATTGGAAGGACTGATGTTGAAGCTGAGGCTCCAATACTTTGGCCACCTGACGCGAAGAGCCAACTTATTGGAAAAGATCCTGATGCTGGGAAAGATTGAGGGCAAGAGGAGAAGGGAGGTGACAGAGGATGAGATGGTTGGATGGCATCACAGATTCAATGGACATGAGTTTGAGCAAACTCCAGGAGATAGTAAAGGACAGGGAAGCCTGGTGTGCTGCAGTCCATGGGGTCACAAACAGTTGGACACTGAGTGACTGAACAAGAAGACTGACATTATTTATACTTAAACATTTAGTAGAATTCACCAGTGAAACAGCAGGGCCTGGAGTCTTCTTGGTAGAAAGATTTTTGACAATGAATTCAATTTCTTTTGGAAATATAAAGCCATTTAGTTTTTCTGTTTCTTCTTGAGTTAGCTTAATTAAATTATGTAGTATTTTTTAGGAAGTTGCCCATTTAATTTACATTATCAAGTACATTAGTTTGAAGTTGTTCATGGTATTTCCTTATTCTCATTTTAAAAAATGTCTACATTAAAAAATGTCCTCTTTCATTCCTGATACCAGTAATTTGTATTTTCTCATTTTTCCTTTCCTTAGTCCTGTCAAGGTGTTATAAATTTTGCTATCTTTTATAATACAAAATTTTCACTTTGAAAATTTTCTCTACTGCTTGCACGTCTTACCTTAATTAGTTCTTTTCTTCTACTTACTCTGGGCTTCCCTAGCGGCTCAGGCAGTAAAGAATCTACCTGCAATGCAGGAGACCCAGGTATAATCCCTGGGTTGGGAAGATCCCTGGAGAAGGGAATGGGTACTGATTCCAGTATTCTTGGCTGGAGAATTCCACAGACAGAAGAGCTTGGTGAGCTACAGTCCATGGGGTAGCAAAGAGTTGGATACAACAAAGTGACTCACATGTCTAACATTCTCTACTTACTTTGTATTCCTTTCTTTCCCCCAGCTTCTTCTGATAAAAACTTTAAGTGTTTACTTTAAATCCTTCTAATTAGGTATTTAAAGTTACAAATTTCCCTGTAAGATCCTGCTGAGCAAGGTGAGGGGGCTACATACTTGCAATATGCAATTTCTGCAAAAGGCAGGAACTCCTAAAGGGCCTCTGGTCTGATTCACACCCCTAAACAAAGCAGGCTTACCTCCTTAGCACCTGAAGTGACACAGAGGGTGAAGCAGGAGAGATGACAGCCAAGCCAGGCTGTACCACCCATGTTCTGTGCGACCTTAGAGGAACCTCTGGCTCTGAGCCACAGAGTAGCGTCCTCATCTCTGACAGGCAGTATAAAGCCCAGGACTGCTATCTACTGAATGGCGTCCCCTGCAGTTGTGCAGGGCACATTCTGCACAGCCTTCATAAAGTCTGCCTTGCAGAGGTGCTGTGGTTGCTTCATGAAGCAGTATATGAACAGCCAACCTGGGGCCTGATAGGTGAGACAGAGTAAATCAGTCATGGTACATCCATTCTGTGGACTCTCACTTGGCCGTGAAAAGTCACGATTAAGCTCTCTATTTGTGCTCAGTCATGTCTGACTCTTTGTTACCCCATGGACTGTAGCCCGGCAGGCTCCTCTGTCCATGGGATTATCCCAGAAAGAATACTGGTGTGGCTTGCCATTTTCTCCTCCAGGGGATCTTTCTGACCCAGGGATTGAGCCCACGTCTCCTGCATTGCAGGCAGATTCTTTACCCAAGCCACCTGGGATGCTGAGACCTCTATTTACTGAGGAAGAAAACTCTCATGCTTTCTTGTGAATGGAAAAATAAAACCAAATATGATCCGGTTTTCATTAATATAGGTATAGCTGTACATGTATGGAAAATCCTGGCGAGAGAAACTCAAAGTGCAGTCTGATTCAGACTGGAGACTTTTTCCTTTGTCAATATTTAAACATTTTCCTACAGTAAGTATGCTTACAATTTGAAAAAAGAAAAAAAATTTTTTTTAGTTGGCTCTTTTCCTTTCCACCTCCACTCTGAGCTTCCGCTTTAAAATGCATCTATCAAATGAAAATAATGATAAAAAGAGCAACAAGAGTGCTGCAGATACACTGTGTCACTCAACACCTGAGCTGGGAGTTAGTTTGCTCATGTTACAGAGGAAGAAGTGGATTCTCAGACCAGGCAGAGGTCCCATGGAGAAGGTAACACGCCCTCTTCACAGGGCTGCCCTGTGGTTTGCTGCCACGAAGGATCATGGATGCTGTGTGACGTGCCAGGTGCCTGCCTACCGTGGGCTGCAGGATGGAGCACTCAGAGCATGGTCTGGATCGAATCCAACAGCTCTGTTCCTTCCAGTTGGTGTGACCTTAGGTAAGTGACCACAACTCTCTGAGCCTCAGCTTCCTCACTGGTAAAACAGGGGTAGCAAAAGTGCCGCCTTGGGGGGCTGAGTCGAGGATCACATGAGGCAGTTCCTGCCCAGAGTGTGCAATCTATGATAGACAGCTTCGGTCATATTAATATCCTCTCCGGCTCTGGTCCTCTGATTTCAACATGGACTGTCTCTCTCTCTCTCTGACAGACATCATGCAGAAGAAGGTGGAGCCCCAGGGGCCATGAAGCAGAGCCTGGCAACCAGCTTCCTGATCCAGGGTCCACACCCACCACCCCGCCCAGCTTGGTGGGTTAGAGGGGTGCTTCCTATCTGCGCATGTCAGGCAAAAGCAGTCACGCCATGGACTAGAGTTCTCAACAGAGGCAACGCAGCCCCACGAGTGGCTGGGGTTGTCATAACAAATGGGGCGCATAAGCAGCCTTGAGCAGACAGAAGCCAGGGAGGCTGGACCCCCTGTGATGCTCCTGACTATCTCACCAGACATTCCTGTAGCTGAGAAACCTATTTAGACGAATGGAGGTTAGTGTCTAACTCAGTCATGTAAATAGAGACTATTTTTCTACTTTATAATAATATACAATGAATTGTCCCAGGATTCAAAACCATGTGAATCAAGGGGAGAGTTCTCCACCATTTTGCACAATCACTTCAGCAGCAACTACCCTACCTGTGGTGTGTTTGATACAAACACGTGTCATTTTACATGAAGAATGTCACACTCATGGTGAGTCTACACATAGAATGAAGAAAGGGAAAGGGGTCCTTCCGGCAGAGGGAGAACAGTGTGTGCAAAAGCCCTGGGCTGGGAGGGAGGGGGCAACCACAGACGTGAAAGCAGACCGCAGTGTGGTGGGGCGGAGTGAGGCTGGGGGGCGAGGTGGGTGGTGAGACCACAGGAGCTAGGCAGTGCAGGGCCTTGGGGGCCACGCCGAGAGGTCAGCCCTGCGAGAAGCCAAAACAGACTGTCCGCCAGGGGAGGACACGGTCAGGTTTGCATTTCAAAAAAGAATCACTCTGCAGGAGAGTGACGCATGGAACGGAAGGGACAATGGTGGAGGCAGGGAGGCCAGTGGAGGCTCCCATGGTTCTCGAGGTGACAGGGACGGTGCTCTGGGCTGGCAGTTTTCCCCGCAGGAGCCTGGTCTGTGGATGGACAGGGGGCCCCCTCCTGAGACCCGAGCCCAGGAGAAGCGAGCTGAGGAGGAAGACCATGGTTCCACTTTGGCAAACTCACCTGACTCTGCCACCTCGGCGATGGGCACCCCCTGTTCGTATGCCATGAAGCCCAGGACTGAGAAGATGGCAAACCCGGCCACGAAGCTGGTGCCGCTGTTCAAGCAACAGAGCATGATGCAGTCCCTGGCGGGGGAAGCGGGAGAGGGGCTCGGGTCAGAACCCGGCGGGGGGAACCGGTGCAGTGCTGGAACGTTCTGTCTGAGCGCCAAGGAAGCCCTCGGGGTTCAGAGAGGGGAGGGGGCTGGCCCACAGTCACACAGCTTCTCCTGCACTTTTCTAGAAGGTGAGGTCAGTCGCAGACTGGAAGCACAGAGGCGGGGTGGGAAGGAAGGGAGGCTGGCAAGTGGGAAAACACACACTAGGGAGGAAAGACTTGGAGACAAACCAATGCTTCTCCAAACTCCTGGCAGGAGAGAAAACCAAGGGAAGTGAGAGAGGATTGATTTTCTGGGAGCTCAAAGCATGAAAATATCAACCTCTGAAAGAAAGGGCTGTTTCCCATCCAGCACAGAGGCCTCAGGAGAGACACTTCTCCCGGCCCAGCGTCTGCCAGAACTCACACAAGCCTCCACTCTGATGCTGCAAGGAGCAGCCGCTCCCAGGCCAGACCCTTCATGGAGTGGGGGGGGGCCCTCACCAGGGCAGTGACTGCCCCCTGCTCTTGGCCAGGGTTCACAGCAAAGAAGCACCAGCATAAAGCCGTGACGCAGGAGAATCCAGACTACAGACGACGGGGCTCCACCAAGAGGAAGAAGACGGAGCCATGCCTCCTGGCCCCTCCAACTTGGGGCTGTGCACCCTCATGCAGGCGGGTCAGGGGATCAGACTCTCGGGACCTCGGCCACCACAGAGCATGCACGTGGGAGTCGGGCTTATGATACCCGTGACGCTTCACTTTAAAGGGAGGGGCCGGGGTGGTCTGTCCAGTGTCCTCCCTGGAGCAGTACCAGCCCGGAGCATCCCCCCACGACCCCAGCCAGCAGGGCCACCCACCTTGCTCCATGGCGCTTCGCTTCTCGGATGGCTCCTGCCGCTCACAGTGTAAGAACTTCCTCATGCTCTCTTTGACCCAAATCCACCTTCTCTGGGAAGTGTTAGTTCTAACCTGCCCAACAGCCTAAAGACCTGAAGATAGAGGCCCTATACCTCCTTGAGGTTTCAGCTCGCTCAGTTAAACCCCCCAGTTCCCTTACCAGTGATCCTGTCTGTGATCTGAAATTCAGTCCAGCTTGTCCCTCTTCAAGAGTGTCACATCCAGGACTGAGCACTAGACTCAAGAACAGAGCAGGACTCTCACCTCCTCGTCTCCTGACACCATACTTTTTGTAATGCAATCAAAGGTTACACTGATGTTGGTGACTGTGACCCCCAGTTGCCTTGCATTGACCCTGGGAATCAAGGGCATGGTGGGAAGAGCATTAGACTGGGGTTCCAATTCTCCCGGCAAAAACTTCTCTCTGGGCCTGCTCTCACTGGCGAGATGACAGGGTGGCTTGGATAAGAGGGTTTCTTGGGCCCTGTGATCAATTAAGTCATTTTCCAACAAGTATTTACTTCCACACATTCCTCCCTGGGGTGGAGTATATTTCCCGGCCCCATTGACTGAGGGCTTAGCCAAGTGACTTGCTTTGACCAATGAGATAGCAATAGATGTGACATAAACAGAGGGTTGAGATCCACTTGTGCAGTTGGTCTTGTCCTCACTCCTTCTGTGATTTGCTATGAGAAGCACTTTCCCAGGGTAGCTCCTATGTCTGCAGCCTGGACCCCAGAATGTACACATGGCGTGGGCTTGAACCTTGCCTGGACCCTGGAGCCAAACCTGTCCAACCTACAGCTTGAAAGACAGAGTTCCCACCTGACCAACAGACATATGAGCAATAAAAGCAAATGCTGTGGTTGTGGTGGTTAGCTACTGAGTTCTGGGATGCTTATTACACAGCATTCTTGCAGCAGTGACTGACTGATACAGGTCTTTTTTACAGAACTCTTCAGGCACTGTGGACAGAGACTGGGCTACCAAGCCTGGAGACTTTATCTGCAGGCCTGATCACCTTCTGGGTTTCCCACGTGGTGCTAGTCATAAAGAACCCACTTGCCAGTGCAGGAGACATAAGAGACACAGGTTTGATCCCTGAATTGCAATGATCCCCTGGATAAGGGCATGGTTACACACTCCAGTATTCTCGCCTGCAGAATCCCATGGACAGAGGAGCCTGGTGGGCAACAGTCCATAGGGTCGCAAAGAGTTGGACATGACTATAGCAACTTAGCATGCACGATCACCTCCACTCTGAGGGAAACTCAGCTCAGCCCAGGAGGGCAAAGTTATTCCTAAGTCTGAGCTAAATCTGTCCTGCACGCCTGTTTCTGGCCCCCGGAAACGGTGCAGAACGAGGCAGCACTGGTGAGCAAAGTGTTTTCTTCACAATCTCTCCGTGCTGGGATTCTTCTGTTTTTTTGGACCTGCAGTGTTGATCACTGTCACTGAAACCCGAGGTCCAGGGAGGACAGACACATACTCAGGCTCTCTGTCATCTGCTGGTGAAGCTGGAAAAGACCCTGATGCTGGGAAGGATTGAAAGCAAAAGGAGAAGAGGGCAGCAGGGGGTGAGATGGTTAGATAGCATCATTGACTCAATGGACACGAATTTGAGCAAACTCCGGGAGACAGTGGAGGACAGAGGAGCCTGGCGTACTGCAGTCCATGGGGTCTCAAAGAGTTGGACACGACTTAGAGACTCAACAACACTGAAGTTGGGATATGAATCCAGTTGTCTCAGACACCAAAGCCCACTTTTTCCTAGGAGCTACACAGTGCTCCTAAGAAACAATGCTCCCTAAGAATTCAGACTTCTGAATCCTGACTTTTGGAAAACAACCTTTGGGTATTCATGTGGTTGTTGGAAACAAATGCCCCTTATTGCAAGGTCCCCACCTTCCCTCAGAGCCCACCCCCCTCAGTGCCTTCCTGACCACAGAGGGGGACAGGCTCTGAGCAGACCCAAGGTCCCTTCCAGGCCTGTGCCCCTGTACCCCGTCCTCAGAGCACCCCCACCTATAAGCAGAGAGCCTAGCGGCCTGTGTTTTGAAATGAGGATTTTCCCCGTCTGGTTTGTTCCATTTGCAGCCCTCTAATTCCTTCCCCACAGGGCACCTTCTAGGTGAAAAGCTACATAACACGCACTTTGAAGTTGGCAGGAGCTGAGCTGGGCTTTGAAGACCTCCAGAAGCTATTATGCTGTCGGAAGAGGGTATTAATTTACTCCCTCTGAGTCAGGTAAGATCCGTTCACGGAACAATTTGGAAATGGAAATAAAAGGAGTCCTCAGACTTTTGCAATGTCACTTAGGGGATTTGCTTTCTTCTGCTGATGGGAAGGAGAAAAAAAACCTGCCTGTTGGATGCGGGAGCTGAAGGGGTCTGGGGTGGTCAGCATATTTCACCCACGTGCTCGGCGGGGAAGCAAGCTGCCACTGTCTCAGACACAGCCTGATGACATGCAGTCTTGGCCAAATCCTTGCTGGGAAAGAAGTGGCCAGGCCTGGGAGTGAGGAATAAGGGTGCAGGGGCCAGAAAGGCTCAGGTTCAAAGCCACGTTGCATCGAGCCTCAGCGTCCTCATCTGCATAACGTCAAGGCTCTTTCCTCGCTTCCTTCCACTTCGGCCAGCGCTCTAGGCTGGAGGGACGGTGATGAACAAGAGGACTCAGACTGCACCCTCATGGAGCTGAAGGCCGAGCAGGAGGTGACCTGGAGACCTCCGCCACGCGCGGCACACAACAGACGCAGGCTGGCGGCCGATGTGCTGACAGACAGGTGCAGATGGCATCTCTCTCCAGCATCCCAAGGGGGTCACCCTCGGCCTGGACCAGAGGCTTGCGTGTGCTCTCCTTGTGCCCACGCCTTTCTCTTCTTGCCCCTGGTTCTGTCCATCTCACGGCTAACAGGGCTCTGCCTCTCACACCCCAGATCCGCCTCCCGTGGACGCCTTGAAGGACCAGAGAGTCCACCTCACAACCTGGCCTGACTTCCCACCTCTCCAGCATCCCTCTGCCCAGTGGTCCCCGGTGACCTCTCTGCCCAACAGCCCAGGGACTCAAGAGAGCTCGCTGGCTTCCTCTGTGGCCTTTCCTCCAGCATGTGGGGTCTGCCCTCTTTCTTTGCTTCGGTTTCGCCAAGTTGCAACCTCTATAGACTGGAGCTGTACCTCTCACGGTAGCGATTGGGAGTCTCACGAACTTAGTGACACATAGAGCACATGGTTGGCTTAACACGTAGGTGAGTAAAGCTATCCCAGAGTCAGCTTTCAGAGAAGATGTGGTGGAGTGCTGGGACGGAGGTTAGGAGACCATGGCCAGAGTCCGGGTCCACCACACCTAGCTGGGGTGGCGGAGGGACCATATCCATGAGCTTCAATTTCCCTTCCCTCGATCGGGATAACATGAGAGGGACTTCATCACTGACCAAAGTCCTCAGAAACGAGGCTCCCACTTGAGCCTCACAACAACCGAATGATGATGCTATCACCTCCAAGGTCCCATCCCACCACCACACGCTCACATTTCTTCTCTCACTGTACCCTCACCTACATCGAGGGTTCATTTTCAGATCACAGCTCATTTGCTGGTGAAGGAAAATGAGCTGGTTATTTTAAGAGCATGTTACTGATCTTTTTCTTGGTGTTTTAGGATTTTTCATTTAGATCTGTTTCTATTCTTTACATTAGTAGGGACACTAACCCTTTTGAGTATCACATTACATGTTAATTGATTTTTGAGTATCATGTTACATGTTAACTGACTTAAATTGAAGACAGTAGGGAAAACTACTAGACCATACAGCTATGACCTAAGCCCCTTATGATTATACACTGGAAGTAACAAATAGATTCAAGGGATTAGATCTGAAAGACAGAGTGCCTGAAAAACCATGTACAGAGGTTCGTAATGTTGTATAGGAGGTGGTGATCAAAACCACTCCTAAGAAAAAGAAACACAAAAAAGGCAAAATGGTTGTAAAGAGGCCTTACAAATAGCTGAGAAAAGAAGAGAAGCAAAAGTCCAAGGGGAAAAAGAAAGATATACCCATTTGAATGCAGAGTTCCAAAGAATAGCAATGAAACCTAATAGAAGCAGATGATATTAAGAAGTGATGGAAACAATACACAGAACTATACAAAAAAGATCTTAATGACCCAGATGGTCATGATGGTGTGATCACTCACCTAGAGCCAGACATCCTGGAGTGCAAAGTCAGTGGGCCTTAGGAAGCATCACTATGAATAAAGCTAGTGGAGGTGATGGAATTCCAGCTGCACTACATCAAATCCTAAAAGATGCTGTTAAAGTGCTGCACTCAATATGCCAGCAAACTTGGAAAACTCAGCAGTGGCCACAGGACTGGAAAAGGTCAGTTTTCATTCCAATCTCAAAGAAAAGCAATGCCAAAAAATGTTCAAACTACCTCACAATTGCACTCATCTCACATGCTAGCAAAGCAATGCCCAAAATTCTCCAAGCAAGGCTCTAACAGTATGTGAACCAAGAACTTCCAGATGTTCAAGCTGGATTTAGAAATGGCAGAGGAACCAGAGATCAAATTGCCAACATCCATTCGATCTTCAAAAAAGCAAGGATTCCAGAAGAATATCGATTTCTGCTTCATTGACTACACCAAAGCCTTTGACTGTGTGGATCAAAACAAACTGGAAAATTCTTAAAGAGATGGGAATACCAGACTGCCTGACCTGCCTCCTGAGAAACCTGTATACAGGTCAGGAAGCAACAGTTAGAACCAGACATGGAACAACAGACTGGTTCCAAATAGGGAAAGGAGTACGTCAAGGCTGTACATTGTCACCTTGCTTATTTAACTTATATGCAGAGTACATCATGTGAAATGCCAGGCTGGAAGAAGCACAAGTTGGCATCAAGACTGCCAGGAGAAATATCAATAACCTCAGATATGCAGATGACACCATCCTTATGACAGAAAGCAAAGAGGAACTAAAGAGCCTCTTGATGAAAGGGAAAGAGAAGTGTGAAAAAAAAAATGGCTTAAAACTCAACATGCAGAAAAACAAGATCATGGCATATCCAGTCCCATCACTTCATGGCAAATAGATGGGGAAACAATGGAAACAGTGACAGACTTTATTTTCTTGGGCTCCAAAATCACTGCAGGTAGTAACTGCAGCCATGAAATTAAAAGATGCTTGCTCCTTGGAAGAAAAGCTACAACAAACCTAGACAGCATATTAAAAAGCAGAGACAGAACTTTGCCAACAAAGGTCCGTCTAATCAAAGCTATGGTTTTTCCAAGAGTCACGTATGGGTGTGAGAGTTGGACTATAAAGAAAGCTGAGCGCTGAAGAATTGATGCTTTTGAACTGTGTTGTTGGAGAAGACTCTTGAGAGTTCCCTGGACTGCGAGCAGATCAAACCAGCCAATCCTAAAGGGAATCAGTCCTGAATATTCATTGGAAGGACTGATGCTGAAGCTGAAGCTCCAGTACTCTGGCCACCTGATGAGAAGAACCAACTCATTGGAAAAGATCCTGATGCTGGGAAAGACTGAAGGCAGGAGGAGAAGGGGATGACAGAAGATGAGATAGTAGATGGCATCACTTGATGCCATCAGTGATGACTTGATGGAACATGAGTTTGAGCAAGCTCTGGGAGTTGGTGATGGACAGGGAAGCCTGGTGTGCTGCAATCCATGGGGTCACAGAGTCGGGCACAACTGAGAGACTGAACTGAACTGAATTACATGTTATTATGTCCTTTAACTTTGTAGATGATTTTCATATTTTGTTTGGAGATGTTATGCAGAATGTATATAGATAACATTTGTATTAATGTGACTGTTTACGGATTATAAAATCTATATGTACTCAAGAGTAAAGACAAGACAAAACATTTAAATTGTATGGGAAAGTACAGGTAGACAAAGCCCATCGTTCCATCTCAATGCTTCTCTTCAGAGGTGGCTCTTTAATAGCTTCTTGTGTCTTTCTAGAAATTTTGAAGTTCTAGATATTTATGTGAATCACTCTGTCATTTCCCTTCCTGACCTAATCATTTTGGGTGTTTCCATATCTTTCTCATTATGAAAAGAGTATTTTAGTCCTCATTTTAGGATGGCTTCCTTTTTTAAAAAAGTATTTAACTCTTTAGTTTTCCTGCACTTACTATGGTGCATATGTGGGGCAAAATATTAGGCTCCGTCCTAACTATTTCTACCAAAATACTTATCCTAGCTCAGGGTTTTTTGCTGAAAAACCCTTCCTTTTCCAGTGAATCTGTGTTGAGGCACAGCATCATTGCCATGAGTCTACGACTTTCCACATTACAATGAGGAGCTCTCGATCTTGGGGGCAGAGATGTGCCATCGGCCCAGCCCTGCATATTCACCATCTGTGTCTGTGACAGGCATGGAGTCAGAGGTGCAGAGACCTCAGCAAACAAGCCGCTGGCCTATGGTTACAGACCAATGTGCCAAGTTCACTTCTGCCAGACACTTTTGGCTGACCTTGGGCAAGTCCCTGGACTCTGGTCTCAGCCTCAGGGCAGAATCCAGGCTGCAGGCAGGAGGACCAGGCAGCCAGGGTCACACAGCCCCAGGCTCACCCCCAGCGTGGGTCCCCTCTCCACAGTGGGTGCAGCTGTTGCAGGAGGCTGGGGGTGGGGAGGGAGGTCCATTAAAAAGGGGGCAGCAGGACACTGGCCACTCCAGGTCAGACTGGACAGGACCCTACAGTCAAGTGAGAGGAAGCAGGAAAGAAATTCCTGACCAGAAGGCAGAACCAAGGCCCTCAGTGTCAGAAGACCTGGGTTCAACTAGCTGTGTGACCTGGGTGTGACCTTGGACCAATCCCTTATCTGCCCTGGGATAAAACTGTGCTGGAGAAGGTGGAATGGAGGCCTGAATACAATTCCTGGCATGGGCTCCCTCCGAAGCCTGGAACTTGCTCTGATCATGTCTGCTATTCTCTGAGCTCCTCTGGTGGACCACTCTTAGACCCTGGGCTGGGAGAGGCTGCCAGGTCACCCAGGGTCCTCCCCTGTCCCACCTGGATGGTTGGCACCCTGCCTCTTCTCCTCTGACAGGCCTGTTTCCCTCAACCGGCCTTGCAAGGTTGGGGGGAGATGTCAAGGAACTAGCCAGACAGCATGGAGGGCTCCCGGGTTCGGTGGAGAGCGGACAGGCAGGGCTGGGGACATGCTCACCTGTAGCAGTTGTTGTTATAATTGTTATAACTTCCCAGAGCGGTCAGACAACCCAGGCAGATGGCATAGGAGAAGAAGATTTGCGTCCCAGCATCTACCCAGACCTGGAGGAGGGCACAAAGAAGTTGGCAGAGAGAGAAGTCAGATGCACGGCCAGGGGGTAGGGAGGCGGGGTGGCCCCGTTCTCTGAAATCCCCCGCCCACGCTCAACCCCCACAAAAGACTCCAAAAAGGGACAATCAAATGTCCTCATCTCAGGAACGTGGTTTTTAGAAATTCTATTCTCAGGATGATTAAATATAGATGTCCTTAATTAAATCCAGAAATTTCTGGAGGTTTTGGACAGTAGTTCACCAAGCAGCAAGAATTTGGGTGTTTAGGACCCTGTTCCAGCTGTGTGAGCTTGGAAAAGTTACTTAACCTCTCTGAGGCTTAGTCCTGCTACCAGCAAAGTGGGGAATAAACTTCCCTCTCAGGACTACTGAAGCCAAGAGTCATTTTTCTTCTGATGGCTGAGACCATCATGAGAAAAGCTCTCTTGGGTGTCTTTGAACTCACAGAGTTGCACAGTGTCTAGTGGGGGTGGGGGGCATTCACCAGGGGGACCAGTTACAATGAAGCCCCCAGTTTTCCTCCAGGTCTGGAGGCTTCTCCCACTCTGCCCCATGCACTCAGTCAGAGGACAGTGAAGGGACAAGAAAGGGGGTAGGCACTACATCTTGATCACTTTTCCAAAGAGCTGTTACTTGGGGGCTTCCTGTGTGGCACATGTGGAAATTCCTTTCTCGGTCTCCAAGTGTCCCTCTGACAGAACAGCCAGGGATGGTGTGACACATGCAAGAGGAATTACGGTAGTTTGTTGGACACTCTTTTGGGCTCTCTTTGAGCTCTGCTCTAGAAGTCATCAAAGAAATGCCACAGCTCAAACCCAAATGCAGCTGATGAGACTGATGCTTGAGAATCCAGTGTCATCTAGAGAAGAGGTTTGATACCAATTCAAATACTAGCAAACATTTGCTAAGCATGTACGACGTGCCAGGGACTGCTGTGAACCCTGTATGTGTTACTACACTTGAATATTCACACCAACACCATGCAGGAGGTGCTATTATTAGCTCCCTTCTACAACTGAGGAACAGAGAAGTTGAGAAACTTGCTCAAGATCACAAAGCTGGGAGTGGCAGAAACAAGTCCAAGGAGATGTGCCTCTAGAGAAGCATGCTTAAACAGTCCCGGAATTCCAGAAGTCTTTGGCTGTAACCTCCCACCCAACACAGGACGCTCTTCTAGTACTTCTGACAGAACAGTCTCTGCTTGATTACTGCCAGTGACAGGGAGCTCACTATCTTTTGACACAGCCCTTTTCCTCTTCAGAGAATTCTGACCATTAGCACATTTCTTAAAATGAGAGAAAATCTACCTTTTGAGTTTCCAACTCTGGGGCCACCCAGGTCATATCTCCCTTTCCCATATGGCATCACTTTACAGATTTGAAGACCCCTCTAGAACACTCCCTTTTCCAGGCAAATTATCACCATTTCCTCTTTTCTGGGGATTTGATTACACAGCCCATATTACTTTACCCTGGATGTGCTTGCTTGTTAAATCATTCAACAGATACTTATAATGAGCAAAGTTCACAATGCTGTCTCTTGACCTAAAAAGTGCATACATTTTTTCCCCCTCTAACACAGAGCTTTTGGGTTTAGTGTTTTGTGAGCTAAATGAGGAACTTAGGGAAAGCTATTTCACGAACTGTGTGTGTGTGTGTGTGTGTGTGTGTGTGTGAGTGAGTGAGTTGGGCGGTGCAGGCGAGGATGCTAGCAGATCATAGTGGACTGAGACATGGTAAGGGGGAAACGGGAAGAAGAACTATTAAAATTGTTTTTCAAGAAAGGGGAGTTGGGAGATGGGATAGTCATGAGAGTAAATAAATTTAGGGAAGATTTTTTCCAAATGGTAGAAACTTGAGGATACTTAAATGTTGAAACAACACAGGGTAGGGAAAAAGTGTTAAAAAAAGATTTGAGAGAGAAATGGGTATATTTTAAAGTCCTTCTCTGCCTCAGTCTCCCCACTTGCCACCTCAATCCCTTTTCTCCTTGGTAAGGCCAGTAAATGTTATGGAGAAGCAAAAGACAGGTTTGCTGCTGAACTGGGAACAAAGTCAGATCCCAGGAGCATGGTATGAGGATGCTCAGCTCTCAACCAGGCACTGTTTCTGTAGCCTCCGCAGGACTTCCCTGGTGGTCCAGGGGTTAAGACTCTGTGCTTCCCTATTTACAATAGCTAGGACATAGAAGAAACCTAGATGTTGATCAACAGATGAATGGATAAAGAAGCTGTGGTACATACATACAACGTGGTACATACAATGGAATATTACTCTGCCACGAAAAGGAACACACTTGAGTCAGTTCTAATGAGGTGGATGAACCGAGAGCCTCATTATAAATCAGAAAGAGAAAAACAAATATTGTTTATCAACACATATATATGGAATCTAGAAAGATGGTACTTATGAACCTATTTGCAGGAGACGGCAAGGGAGACACAGACACAGAGAACGAACTTGTGGACACAGCGGGGGAAGGAGAGGGCGGGACAAATGGAGAGAGCAGCATGGAAACATAAAATAGCTAGCTAGGGAGGATTTGCTGCAAGATGCGGGGAGCTCAAGCCTGGGGCTCTGTGACAACCTAAAAGGGTGGGATGGGGTGGGAGGAGGGAGGGATGTTCAAGAGGAAGGGGACGTATGTGTACCTGTGGCTGATTCATATTGATGTATGGCAGAAACCAACACAATATTGTAAAGCAATTATCTTCCAATTAAAAATAAATTAATTAAAAAAAAAAGACTCCATGCTTCCAATGCAGGGGCTGTGGGTTTGATTCCTGGTCAGGAAACTAAGATCCTGAATGTTGCCCAGCATGGCCAAAATTTTTTAAATTAAATTAAATTAATTAATTAATTAAAGTCTCTGTAAACCAATGTTCCTCTCCCCAGACTCTTCACTGAGCGCACACACCAGACTGTGAGAAGCCTCCAGACCTTCATCACCACTGGGCCCCAACGACAAATGGTCCCCCTTCCCCACGTGGTAAATAAACCCTCCGTGAGTTCAAAAATACCCAAGAGAGTTTTCCATCCTCATGTCCCAAACATCTCAAACCATGATGTTCGCCTGCAGGGGATTTTCCTTGCAGTTTGCTCTTTGAGCACAGCACTCAGAAACAGGGGTCTGCTCTCTTTGCCCACCCACCCAGCATCTGTCTTATCCTTTCAGGTACCAGAACTCCAATATTACTTTGAGAAACCATCTCTTCCCCACCCAGGCCTGGCCAATCAAAGCACTTCTCCTGGCTACAGTGAGTGGCTTGGGGATGAGTCTATGATGCTAACCAAGATGAAGCTCCAATACTTTGGCAACTTTATGCCAAGAGCTGATTCGTTGGAAAAGACCCTGATGCTGAGAAAGACTGAGGGCAGGAGAAGGGGGCAACAGAGGATGAGATGGTTGGATCGCATCACTGACTCACTGGACGTGACTTTGAACAAACTCTGGGGGATAATGAAGGACAGGGAAGCCTCGTGTGCTGCAGTCCACAGGGTCACTAACCGTCAGACACAACTGAGCAACTGAACAGCGAGCCAATGAAACTCAATCCTGGGACTTTTAGTGGAGCCACGGCAAATGGAACACATTGTTTTTTCCTAGAGGGAGGCTGGAGGTATAACACAGGGAAAATGGGTATATGGATAGACTAGACTTTTAATCTCCTTGGTAGCTCAGACAGTAAAGAGTCTGCCTGCAGTGTAGGAGACCTGGGTTCGATCTCTGGTTCAGCAAGATCCCTGGAAAAGGGAATGGTGACTCAGTTCAGTATTCTTGCCTGGGAAATTCCACGGACAGAGGAGCCTGGAGGGCTACAGTCCATGGGTTCACAAAAAGTCATACACGAATAAGCCACTAACAAACACATAGTCTAGACGAAGCATCAAATGAGTTGTTCAGGAGACAGGTAGAAAGTCCAGGGCTTAGTACTGTCCTAGAGACACAGATTTGCAAGTCATCAGCATTTTAGTACTAACTTAACCTCTCCCTGACTCCAGATTCAAGACCTTCTCCACTGGCCTTTTCTCTTCTCCACATTTGGAAAATGAGTGTTGATGCAACTTTTCTGCTGAGATACATGCTCAGATCTTGCAGAGCCTGGGAAGCATCAGGATTAGATTTCCTGAAAAAGTCTTCTGAACACGCATGGTATGTCTTCATATGACTCCACACATTGGATGTCTTAGCAGATGGGCATACCTGACACATGTCTATATTCTCAATCACACCTGTGGTTGTGAAAATGCAACAGGTTTCCAACTGTTAGCCTCTCTGCACCCCTTGCCTGGGAAGGAATGAATGAACTCATTGTGGAAGCCACTATTTTTGTGAAGACAATTACTGCTAGGCTGGGCTGAAATAAACAACAAGCCCCCAGATCTCAATGGCTTAGCACAGTGGAGGCTTACTTCCCATTCACACAGAACCCACTGAAGATTGTGAAGGGGCTCTTCCACCCAATAGCAGGGATGCAAGCCCTCTTATCTATGATGATACCTCCGCGTCAGCATAGCCTCTGAGGCAGAGGAAAAGGGAACCTGAGCTTTACTCAGGAAGTTTTTAGAGCCAGACTTAGGGAATTACTTATACCACGTTTGCCTACTCACCCCTGACCAGAACCAAGTCCTGTGATCTCAACCTAAAGCTGAGGAAGTCTGGGAAAGTCTCTTTCCATTTCACTCAGGAAGAGGAAGAACAGCTGGTTGGTGAGCACAAAGCATTCTCTCTGCTACAGGCGTTGAACCAAGTCTTCTTCATCTAAGCCGACTCCTTCTTCAACCAGTAATTCCACAAACACCCACAGATCAAACCAGATTGTAGTGGCCACTGCGATGATCTGACAGAAGGGGCCAAGTAAGGCTAATAGAACAGGCCAACAGGACATTCACGAACCTTCGACCAGTTTGGTGATGCCTTAGGAAGTGGATTTGTTGAAAACCTACTGTGCATGCGAGGCTCTCAGCGGACAATCTCATAATTTGCATAAC